ACATACATATATATTTTGTAATTACTATTACAATGGGTTTACTTAGCTTACTTTTTATGTTTATCTTATACTTTACTATTTGCTCAAGGTTTTAACATACAACGTACTCACACATACATACATATGCACACATTGATCTTGGTCACATTAGGGCTGTTTGGGTCAGGTTGGAGATATCATTGCCATTGTAGCTTGAGGGAGAGACAGTGGGCATGGTGAAGGTAAAAATAACTATCTTTTGTTGAATACCTATTATTCCCCAGGCACTCTTTCTTAAAAATCTGTTTGAGGACATATGCTCGATTATCATCATCTTTATGTTACATGTGAGCAAATAGAGGCTAATGGAGTTTGTATAACTCATTATATCCCAAGGTAGCACAACGACCACGTAGTACAGTCCAAATTTGAACTCAGGCCTTCCGACTTTAGTGCATATGACCTTAACCACTGTGTGCTACCACCTACTGTTAGTTTAACAATCCTAACAGCACTTGATCGGTGCCGTACCATGTACTTTCACAAAGATCTCACTCCATTCTCTCAACAGTCCTGTTGGGTGGTGCCAGAGAAGAAGAGCCAGTTCCTATAGTTAAATGGTCACATAGCAAGGCCAGTGCAGACAAGCAGCTGGAATACAGGTATTTTGCCGGAGCTAGGGTAGCGGTGTGTTTCTCTACACCACACTGGGACTTCTAACAGTTATCTTAGGCTTCTGTTCCGGCTCTTATAATAACAATCCACTTTCTATCATGTTTGTTTGGAAGTGTGAATCCCTACATCAACACGAGGATAGCAAATATGACTTAACTTTTTTAGGTAGTCCCTGTGCTCAGGCAATGTTTATTGAATAAATGTGTAAGAAAATTTTAAAAAAGAGTTTGACCATGTAGTCATTTGAATATTTTAGTTCTAGACTTCCTTAAGTGTTGAAATATCAGTATTTTAGTGATGTTTGATGTTACCTTTGTTCTTTTTCTACATGTGTTTCAAAAAAGTAAACTTAATTTCACATACACTTTAAATAGAATGTTTTTTGCATATACCAGGAAATGTGATTACAAATACCTTTTGAAGAGGATGAGTGATAATTTGTACCTTTTGTAAGCAAACTGAATGAGAGTACTATTAGAAACCTATGGATTGAAGCCTTCATTCATCAGAGAAAATCTGCGGCTCTGTGCCCTTCCTCTCAACCCAATTCCTTAGGTCCTCTGAATACAGCAGTGACCTGGGAGTTCTTGCATCTGCTCCTGGCTCCTGAGAAGGGTCCTGCCAACTCTGTATTGTCCTGTTGGATTTGCAGTCAGAAGTCTGAGGCTGGCAGGCACTGGGCCGGCAATGAGTTCTTTCCCTGTAAGTTGGGCACAAAAAGATCGGCATGGGAGCAGCCTCCTTTGAGACAGCTGCTCTGAGAGGACGCAATAAGCAGGGAGCAGCCAGAAATTCCTCCTAGCAGAGGGTGACTTGTGGGAGGAGTTCAGTTTGCCAAGTATTGTCGTTTGTTGAGAGAAGGTGTGTGCTCAAGGAGGAGTTTTAACCTGGAGGATCATTAACTCTTTTAGTCGGCTGAGGAGGTGCGGTGGCTCAGTGGCTCGGCGAGTTGGAGTTCGTCCTGAAGCATCTGCCCGGCAAGGTCAGGAAGGAGGTGTGGAATCACTTTTTCATGGGACACTTTGAGAAGGGCCAGCACGCTCTGCTCAATGAAGGAGAAGAGAATGAGATGGTAAGATTCTAGCCACATTCCCTTCTTCCCATCCCACTCCTCAGCCTATGAGACACACACACACACACACACACACACACACACCACATACACACCACACACCACAAACACAGACTTCTCTGCAATTTCACTCTGGCATTACATGAGAAAAGGTCATGTTTAAGAAATCTCTCTGTCCTGTAAATATAACCTCTGACAGCAGAAATTTGCCAGAATGAAAATATTGTATTTATCTTGTCAATAATGTTTTCTTTTGAAAGAAAACAGAGAGGAGAGAAGCACCATGCCACTTTATGATTCTTGTTTGAGCCTCAGTGGTACAGCCAGTTCTGTTCAAAACACCTAACAATGTTAGGAAATCCCTAATGTGAGAAGCAGTGCATTCCCTGATAGGAAGAAGCAGAAGTGCCGCTAGGTCTTCAACCTTCTCTTCTCACATACCTTGTTCACTGAGTCTGTTGGACAGGGAAGACATGCAATATTCACAATTATCAGCCTATACACATTTCTATTTTCTTCTAGAATTTTACTTTTGTGGCTTCCTCATTATAGAGATTGGTTACAGAAAACTTTCAGTAGTTTGTTATCTCCTTTGTTTTAGATGCACTCCTATCTCGAGAACTATAGGAAAATCCAAGATGACTCATGCTTAGGATGAATTTAAAACTGTATTTCTCAATTACAATGTAATGAAGAGAGAGTCAGAAGTGTGTACTTCTGTTTAATAAGGTCTTTCTGCTAATTGTGTAAGCATAGTCTTTTATGCCAGTAATGATGTAATTAAAATGTTAAAATGTGATGCTCTCATTCAATAATAACATTTCGTCTTCCTGGAATTAATATGTAAATAACAAACCTGAAAGATATTTACTTAAAATGTTTTTCTTGGTTAATTGCTTTAGCCCTGACTATTAAATTCTTTGTTCCTAAACTGGTCTTTCAAGTCTAATCTGCTTACCTGTTCCTATAGCAACAACATTTTTTGGACTTTCAAGAGTAGATCCCTTCTGCTATCAAAGCTGAAAGAATTATAAAGAAGTAAAAGGCATATTAATTCAGGTGCCTTTCTTAACCATATCCTTTACTTCATTCAGATTTGACTGCCCAATGAATTGCCTTTAGCCCCTCCACAAATGTCACCAGAAATGACTTGCTAGCCCACACTGGATATCGTCTTTGTTTCTTTAAAGAGTTTTCTTTAGGAAGTGAATATTTCATTACTGTCGATATTAAGTTGAAAAGTTTATCTTCATCTTGAATACTCTTCACCAGAAGGCAGAGGCTCCTTCCTCTGAAACATTTTTTTTTTCTCTCTCTCTCATTTAGAAATACACTCACTCTTTTTCAGTACACCCCTTTCTGCTCTTGGACAATTTGTCTTTCAAGTGTCAATAAGAATCATTTATTTTCCAGAAGACATTCATGGTTGTAGGGAAACTGTTACCTCTTCCCTAGCGTACATATTCCACCAAAGCAATTCATTAGCAGTTCATCTTCATAACGGCACCATCAGATGCATGAGGAAGTCCACCTAGTTTTGTATGCAGCTGGAAGCCCAGTTAGCAGAGGGCTTTTAATATGGAAAGGGACACTGTGTTTTCTGGTGGGCAGTCATTTGGCCAGTACTCTCAGCAGAGGTGCAGCAATTAGTATGCACTCCTGAGCTCTCCATCCTCTTGTGCCTACAGAAACCTGGCCACCTGCCTGTTGCTGTGTCTGACGTTCTGTTCCTTTTTAACTCACTCCTCCATCCCTTGCCCAGAGCAGTAAACTTTAAAAATTATCAAACTATATATATACATATATTCTACATATTTTGTAGTGATTTTTAGTATACACCGCATTTTCTTGGCCACTAGCTAATTTAGTTTTCATCACAACCCTATGAGGTAGATGCTGTGATTCTTACTTTAAAGATGAGGAAATTGATGCACACAGAATTTTCCGAAGGTTGCATCAACCAGTAAGTCCAGGCGCTGAGGCACCACACAGTGGTGTTTAAGTTGATAGTCTTTTGTCTCTGGACCTGAGCATAGCCCACTGCTACCTCTTCCAGTTCTTCCAGAGAACATTGCACCCATAAGAAAACACATTTCCTTCCTTCATAAAGCAAAGCTAAGGAGAACATCAACATCCAGTCTTCCTATATTCCTCAGGATCTGTTCTGTTATAGATAATTTGAGTTTCTATTTTCTTCAAGATAATTTGAGTATCTTAAGTAAGCCTGTTTCCTCTGACTTCCAGGTCTAGAAGTGTGTCACACCAAAGTGTTTAGGCTTGTGCTTTATAATATACTTTACTTGAAACTTTGCAAATGTAATTTCTCTTGTGGTGGAAATTACTTCAAATTTCAAGAGAAAACAACATTCTAGGGTTTAGACTTCATGTCAAATAAAGAAGAAGAGTATTCTGAGGGCTAAAGATGCCTAGGATTATCTTTCATTTTAGAGTTAAAAAACCAAAAACAGTCTGGGCGCGGTGGCTAATGCCTGTAATCCCAGCACTTTGGGAGACCAAGGCAAGTGGATCACGAGGTCAAGAGATCGAGATCATCCTGGCCGACATGGTGAAACCCCATCTCTACTAAAAATA